CGATGTCTTCTCCGGCGCTGATAATCAGCGTCTGTCTCGTGTCAGTGACGTAAAAGACGGATTTAATGCGACATGACCATCAAACAGCAGTCGCTTTCTAAAACATTGGATATGTATCGGATTCAGTACCACATACGAAAGTGACCCAGATCGGATTTGAAAATATCGGATTTGTGCCGTTCATACTGTCATACCATGATCGGATATGGGTCGCAAAGGGTCAAAAAAAAATCTGATTTGATGCGCTTTCGCCTGCAGTGTGAACGTAGCCTAACAATATTTCAAGCTTTTTATTTGAAATTATCTCTCAAAAAATTGGTTCTCTAATTCTTTAATTTTACTCAAGAGTTAATGCTCTAATATCAAATTGTTGTTACATATCTAAGCTTTCCCCCTTTTTTTGAAATGAGGACCAACGGCAGGAAAAAAGCAGGGGTTTTGGCTTTTTTTCAAGAGGTCCATAAACGCTATAACGTTAATTTACTTTCTTTGCAGCAACGTCCGATATTATGTCACTCTGTTTCTCCATTGAAGAGAGTGTTTTTAAGGTTTTGTGCAAAAAGGATAACATCTAAGCATCAAGTATAATAAGTTAAGTACAGCGCCTGTACCAAAACAAAAATACATATACTTCAAAGGAACTATCCACTATTTGTTGTCTGCAATTTTCTGTTTTCTTTCAGTTCTGTACCCCCTGCCCTGCATGTCAGATTGCTCCTTGTTCTCACACACTAAATGTTTTCAGCTCTTTCTGGAAAGCACTGAAGGATGGCGAGTGACTATAGAGATGGGTTTTTTCTTTTTTTGTTAAATTGTTGCTTTGATCATTACCAATATCAAACCAAGCTAAATAAAAACAAAAAACTGTGTTTTTTGGGTAACATTTTCGAAGAGTTACTTCAAATTTTAAATTAGCTCTGTGGTGATATCGACTGTGTGTGAGAGAAGTACATAATAAAAAAGAAATCCCTATATTCCCTTCTAATCTCTATAGAAATGCATGTACATGATGGTCATAGCATTCAGGGTCTGAAAAGTAAAGCCATGGGGTACTAACTTAAACTCTTTGACGTTTGTGTGTGTCCTGTGTAGGGATGCAATGATACCAATTTTTACAAACCGATACGATACCGATACTTGGATCTGAGTACTTGCCGATACAGAGTACAAAAACCGATACTTCTACCACACACACACACACACACACAAATGCAATGAATTGGAAGACAGGTTTTATTTTATTCTCTGCCGATAAAAAATAAAATCTTAATAAAAATGACCACAAAAAAATTTCAAGTGAAAAATAAGCACTTCTGTTAAATTATTGCAGAGTCTCCACATTGTAATTTAACAAAATATCACTGAACTATTGGCACTGTCTTGAGCTTTCAGAATAATAAATAAACACTTCTGTTTGGAATAAAATAATTTTAAATTATTGCAGAGCGTCCATATTGTAAACAAACAAACAAAATAACAAAAGTATTTGGCATTGACGAACGAACTCCTCATCAGTCCACTGTGCCGTTAAACCAAGGACTGACATCGCGAACACTCTGCTTGTCTTTACCTCTTCAGAAAGGAACTTCCTTGAATACTCACATATTTCTACATACTAAGCTTCTCTATATTTAACAAATCACTAGCACAGGATCTTGAGATTCTTGGTTTAGTTCACCTCTGTCAACTTTAGGCTTCATAAACAGCTCACTGCTTTAAACCTACTTTATTTCAGAGAGAAATCCTTTGCCAAAACCATCCTCATGGCAGTTTGGAAGTTGTGCAGGTGTTCTTAGACTAAAGCCGCCCATTTATTTAACTGTTGCTTTGGGATCTTTAAATTTAACCAACCGGTTTACTGCTTTAAACTGACGGTAATTGATTTGGTCAGACAGGAATTCTCCTCTAAACCCATCTAAAAACGGCAGCTTTAAGGTTGAAATAAAAATGCAAAAATAATCACATCAGCAATCATAACATTCGTGGAGGAAACAAAACTATCAAAGAGAAACTTCCACTTCCTTTGATATATTGAGAAACATATTTAAATTTAAATACGTCTTCATAAAAAAAAAAAATCAAATCAATCACTTTCGACATCTTGTCATAAGACGGTAACTGACCTGACAGAGAAAGTTCACTGGGCGCCACAGATTCTTGTAGTTAGATCTGCAGCACCCCCGAGGGCTCCGACACCTCCAACAATTCAGACCTTACACTGTCACCATGGTTACTACTGCCTGACACCTCTGGCAATGGCAAATAGACTGACCACAGTGGAACATTTGAGACGACATTGGCAGAGCCCGTGTGCATCGTCACACAATAAAGACCTCAGGGCATGAGGGAACACTGAGAGCCAGTTACACTTAGAGAAAGCAAAGAACTTCATGGACAAACACGAGGGTGAAAAGGAGGACGGCACTGGCAGGGTGTCCATCTCCAGCTGGCGTAACGTGGAATGTTAATTAGGCCTGCAATAACAAGACACCACCCTCTTAAATGTCACATCCTCGTGAGGAGAGCAGGGGATGGCGAACTTCTGTCAGGCAAAGGGTGGCGTGCTTTGTTTGCTTTTTCAGCATGGATTTCTCTTCCGTTGCCTCTACCCCAAGCATTTTCTCTTAACATTCTCCTGCTCCTGCCCTTCTATGCTGTTTACTCTGTGATGAATGGCTTCATTTCAGGTTGAGCTCTTTTTTTTTTAAAGCTGGAATAGATTACAATCAGTGCAATTGTGCAGAAATACGACTCATCTCACTGAAAAAGAAAAATAATTGAGGAGGGGGCAGCAGAGGATGGAAAATATAGAGTGCAACTGCACTTCACACTAATGCAGAAATTGTCAGACCCATCTCTGATGAAGGTGTTTTGGACTGCAGGGGCTCTTACAAAAAAACAAGGTCTTGATAAGAGCGCTCAGGGGCCAGGAGAGGATGTAAACAAATATCGCGGTGGTTTGTAATGAGACATGACACCGTGAGAATACTGTGGCCTTTCAAATGGCAGGCCTCGTTATCAGTCTGGTTTCACAGCCTCAGAGGGACAAAGATTCTGATAATGGGTCATCAGTAACGAAGGGTTGGACAGAAGACCTGCTGAAGCTTAATATGAGAGGTTGCTGAACTACTGAGCTAATGTGGGAGAGACACTTTACACAGTGTGTGCGGTTTTACCGTTGACATTTAAGTCTGTGGTTTTCCCGCTCGATCAGTTACTACATTTACTGGTACAGCAGCACACAGCTTCTTACACTAGCTATGTCCTTGTCCAACGTATCTGTCCTGGAAGCCAAAATTTGCAGAACAGCTCATTCTCCCGAATCAAAAGCAGCGGTGGATTGATTTTGTGAAGAGTCGTATTGATGTGTGTTATCACCACAAACATCTTCTACCACTGTGACTTTTTATGTTTTGGGGTTTTTCTACAGATTTTATTTTTGAGAATTTTAGCCCTTATTCACCCGGACAGTGCAGCTCAGACGAGCCACAGTGAAACCATACTGTGACCATTTTACATTAGGAACTTCTAATTTTTATTAAAGCCAGCTGGAATTTAAGGATTATCCCCTTATTACAATTAAATAAGCTCATACAAACCATCTTCATTGCCAGCATTTATCATTCCAACCCACAGCTACTGATGCACTGCTCATGTACATCCCAAATCCAAAAAAGTGTGGGCGCTGTGTAGAAAAACAATGTGATGACTTGCAAATCCGACACCCATGGGTCAT